GAGCTTCTTTTGTGAAGACTTGAAACCCCTTTTAGCCAATCTCTCCAAAATCTTCCCCGAAGCTTCTGAAAAGCTTCATCTTCATTCAATGGAGGTGTGAAGGAAATCATACCAACTCTCCAACCCTAAGCTTCTTTTTCCCTCTCGAGATCTTTAAGATCCATCCTAATATGAGAGAAGTGAAGGGAGATCAAGAAGGTCCAATGAAGCCCTAGATCTCTTTGAAACTACACATGAAGAATGCTCCAGTCTTCCATCCAAAATCTCTAAAAATTGCCTCCAATAATGCCAAAATCGAGAGAGAAATTAATAGGTTGAAGAATGAGCAAACCTTAGCTCAAAATTGGGGTTTTATCTCGATTTGGGCATTCCCGCAACTAAGGTCTCGGGACAAGTCCCTAATGCCCCAAAGTTGCTTTGCTAAAACAATGAGTTATGCGACTTTTCCCGTGACTTAAGTAGTGAGATTTTCTGTTTCGGTTTCGATGCAATATATCTCTACCAAAAGTCCAAAACTATCCCCCACTAATTGCTTTATTGACACAATGTATCCCATTCAAGGTATGACCTCCAAAGGCTAATAAAAGTACATCAATCGCATAAATGTGTACATAACACACGGTTGTTACAGTGTGGGGGGGGGGGTAAAAGAGATCAGTAATGAAAGTAGGGATTTGAGGGATGAAGTTTACACATGTGTGTGTGTGTGTTTAACAATGTATGTGTGTGCTTAACAATGGACGTGTGAGTTTGTGTTTAATAGTCGATGTATGTGTGTGTAACAGAAGGTTGGGTAGGAAGAAGCTGGAGACAAAGTGTGTGTGATTGTATATATATATATACACGTATAAGATCTAATAAAATTTTGGTCTTCGTAGTTTGAGGGTTTTTAGAAAAACGGAGAAGACAAAAAATAATGTTAGAGTAAAGGAAAAAAAACAAAATTGAGGAAAATGCCCTTGTAGTTAACAGATCTTTTGGATGGTCGTTATAGTGAGGGACCAACTCGTTAGAAAACAATAAAGGACGGGTCCTCTTCTATAAAAAATGAAGTTTAGAGACCATTTTCATAAAATCCACTAAATCAGAGGGATCAAATCCATAATTAACTCTAAATTTAAATTACAAAAAGAATTATGTTTACTCGCTTATTTTGCGATATGTTTTATTATAAACAATTATTTAATTCAATTTATTTAAGCTATATTTGCAAAGTAGCTAAAAACTAGTTGTTGACGATAAGTTAGTTTATTACTTGATAAATTAGCTGATGAACAAATATGTTTGACAAAAAGTAGCTAATAAGCTTGTTGATAACGGTAAAATAACCAAAAAAGATATGTTAAAAAATAGTCAACTTTAACATTACATAGTATAATTATAACAAATCACTAATAACACAAACCAAATGGTAGAAAAATAAATAAGTAAGAACACTTCTGATCCTTTGGATAAGTTACTTTTTAATCTAACTTAATTTTCTTCAACTACTTTCAGTACCTTCGACCACATTTAAGTAGCTTTCACAAACTTTTACATATATTTAATCACTTTCAGTTGCGTGAATTTGTTATAGTTGCGACTGTGATGATAAAAATAGGTAAATAAAGGTAGTTGAATGTAGATGATCGAAGGTAGTTGAATGTTTTGTTCTCACTCTTACTGTAAATCTTATTATCACAAGAACCAAATCCCGCATTATAAGAGGACGTCTTTTAAAAACTTCATAATTTGTGAGATCCAATATAGATCTCAAAAAGTTAATTAAAAAATAAAATATAATTTAATTTTAAAAAAAGTCTCTGTCATCTGTCGTATTTTCTCTCTTCTCTCCTCTTTCATTTCTCTATAACATGCACACAAAAATTAAATTTTTTTAAAAAAATACTATTATAATTTATGAATACATTGTGAACATTTTTCTAGAAATATTAATATAATTTGTGAACACATACAAGATCTGGTATAACTTGTGAACATATCGTTAACATCAACTAAAGCAACAAAATTAAATCTAAACCTATCATTTGTAAACACTCTACTAAAAAAAATTAAGGTTGTTTTCTTTGTATTCACCTTGTGTACCTATTTAGGAGGTGTTTGAGATTACTTATAAAAATAAATTATTGACTTATTCCGATGTGACACCGGTAATAAACACTTTTGAGTGTTTAGATAAACAGTTTATACCGGTGTCAAACTGGTAATAAGAAGTTTTTGAAAAAGTTAAACTATTCTAACTTATAATAAGTTGATAAGCACTTTTATAGAAAATCATAAATTGTTTCAAATAAGCAATC